GAGCCATGGCACCATCGTTCGTAAAGCCGCAGCGCATTCTCATCAAAGTATGGGGCGCGTGGAAGGCGCCAACTCTCTGGCAGCGGGCCTCTTAAGGACCTTCAGGTTCGCGCTGGAGAAGCGGTTGGAAGTCACGATCGACGCCGACCACCCGATCCTACCCTTCGTGACGAACGCGATCGGCTGGTATGTCACACGATTCCAGCCGCGGGAGCACGGAGGGTCCTCCTACAAGTTTCTCTTTGGCAAGGAGTACGATGGAGAAGTCGCCGAGATCGGCGAGCAGGTTTGGTATCGGATCGCTGGGCGGGTAGCCAGCGGTCAGGGCAAGTTCGAGGCCCGCTTTGCTAAAGGCGTGTGGGCAGGCAAGTCGGAGTTTGACGACCAGCACCTAGTCGTGGACTTGCAGCGCGGGCTCCTCAAGGTGCGCACGGTGCGTCGCATGCCCGAGGAGTTCCGCTGGTCCGAGGACCTGCTGAGGCAGATCAGCGTGACGCCCTGGGACCCCACGCCAGCTAGGGCCAAGGAGATTGCGAGGCCCAAGGGCCTCTACATCACAGAGAGGATGATTGACAGACATGGACCGACTTCAGAATGCCTCAAATGCTCCACAGGGCGAGGACAGCACTCAGACGCTTGCAGGCAGAGGTTCGAGCACATCGTCCAGGAGGAGCTCGAGCGGAGGCTCAAGACTGAGGGGGCCTCGCCAGCGACACCAGCGCCGCCTGGAGTGGCGCCTGGCACGCCTGTGCCCGAGAGTGCGCCTGGCCCTAGTCAGCGCTCGCAGCCTGAGGACCGAGCGCCGGGCACACCGAGGCCAGGAGCGCAGGTGCAGGAGGCCATGGCAGACCAACCTCCCAGGAGCTCTGTCGGGAACATCCCCGACACGCCGATGGACACCAAGGACGACACGACTCGCAAGCACCAGGTCGAGGCTGCATGATCCGAGGACCAGGGCGGCAAGCGCCAGAGGATCGAGCTTCTTGGTGTGAGGCCTGAGGTGACAGTCATCGCGGGCTTGTCGGTGTGTGAGCTCGCGGTCTGCGAGGCGGACGACTCCGAGGAGTACGACCCCGTCTGGGACCCGATCCCCACGGCAGAGAGCCGATGCGACGGCAGATGCCCATCACATGGAGGACGGTGTGCACTTCGAGCTGACCACCGTGGAGGCTGCGCCTGTCGGCTGTGCCTGATCCATGCTGCGCGCGCCGTGGAGGCCCCGAGCGCAGTGGTGGCGGGCCTGTGCAGCATGTGGGCGGGCGGTCTGGAAGACGAGGTTGACAGCCCACAGATGGTCCACTACGACTACTACTCAGGCGAGCCGTTGGACGAGGACCTCTACCAGGAGGGCAGGCGCGACGAGCTGGAGGCGATGAAGGAGTACGGTGTCTACACGGAGATCCCCATCTCTCAGTGCCAGCCAGGGGGGAAGCACGTCAGGGGCTTCCCGATCGCCCACATGAAGGGCGACAAGGTGCGCTGGAGGTTCGTCGCGACCGAGGTGAACGACAAGCACCGCGAGGACAACCACCAGGGCACGCCGCCGCTGATGGTCATCAGGCTGATCATTTCCCTCGCAGCATCCAAGTCCGATGCTGACGGCGTGCGCCGTCGGCTGCTGCGGGTCTGGGATGTCCGCAAGGCGTTCTTCAATGCGGACTTGGACGAGCTGGTCTACGTGCATCCAGGCTGGGAGCTGTGTCCAAAAGGCTTCTGCTGGGTTTTGCACAAGGCGATGAACGGGACGAGGAAGGCCTCACAGCTCTGGGGCGAGACGAGCAAGGCAGCGATCGACGACGCAGGAGGCAACCCACTGAAGGGCACAGCTGGCACCTACTACTTCGAGAACTTAGTGGGTGACGGCATGGACGCCACGATGTGCTGCCACGGTGATGACTTCTTGGCGGAGGGCCACCGCGACACCCTCGACGCCATTGGCAACTTCCTGGAGGCGAACTTCGAGGTCACCGAGTCCGAGAGCATAGGCCCAGGTTACCCTGGTGAGCTGAACTACTTGAAGCGCATAGTGGGCTACACGAGCGAGTTGCCCGAGACCAGGATGCCAGGCTTCTACTGGAGTGCTGATCCGAAGCACGTGGAGGAGCTCATCCGCTGGGGCCACAAGTCGGGTTCCAAGGCTGCGCCTACCCCTGGAACAAAGGCTACGGGGGCAGGCATGAGGAATGCCCTGGACCCACTGCCCGTGGCCGAGGCCAAGTCGACCTCGTCAGCGGCAGGACTGAGCCTGTATGTCTCGAGTGACAGGCCTGATGCTATGTTCAGCTCCAAGACGATTATGCAGCACGTCAGCAAGCCAAACGTCCTGATGAACGCACGTCTGCACCGGCTGTGCAGGTACTATGAGGGCGCACCGAGGCTGCTGTGGTGCTATGAGCTCCAGGACTTACCAGAGGTTCTACGAGTGGACGCGGATGCCGACTGGGCGTCTACGACCAGCCTCTTCAGGACTTCGACCTCTGGAGGAGTTGTTCGTTTCGGAGGCCACACGGTCGAGGCGTTCGCAGTCAGCCAGGCTACTCAAGCGTTGTCGTCGGGAGAGTCTGAGTTCTACGCCATCGGGAGTGGAGCTGCAAGAGGTTTGCAGGCGAAGCACTTCCTTGGAGAGGTGGGCGTCACCGTGCGTCTTGTCGTTGCCAGCGACAGTGCTGCAGGCAGAGGGATCTGCCAGCGCCACGGCGTAGGCAAGGTGCGCCACCTCGAGTTACGGTATCTCTGGCTACAGGACCGCGTACGGTTGCGACAGCTGGAGTTGATCAAAGAGGCGACCACGGAGATGGTTGCGGACATCCTCACGAAGTATGTGGAAGCAGAGACCCTGTTTAAGCACGTGGCGACCATGAACCTGCGGCTCGTGCCGCTCGGAGCAGTGGTGGTGAGCGCGCTGCTACCGACGGCGCGCGGCCAGGAGACGGAGGCGGGCGCCAAAGGCGCGCCCTGGCTACTGATTGTGATGGCTTTGAGCATAGCGTTGCTGTCTTTTCTAGTAGGCTGTTGTGCTGGAGCCAGAGCGGGCTCCACTGCGGTTTGCTACGAGCGTCCCGAGACGCTGAGTGATGACAGCGCAGCTCCTGAGCAGACCGCAAGCGACGGAGATGCGAGAGTGCAGCTAGTTCTTTCAAGGCTGACAGTGCCTGACCTACGAGCTATGGCTCGTGCGAACAAGATCGGCCTTGGGGTGGGCTATGTGAGGAAGCAGCGCCTGATCGAGATGATCATCTCGGCTGGCGCGAGCCCCACCTGCGAGCAGGCAGAGCGCCTAGAGAGCGTTTGTGCCGTTCTTTCCAAGGCTGGTCTGAGTTGTTTTGTGCAGCCACGCCTGCTGTTCACGAAGCAGGGGCTGGAGAGTCATTTGGTGCTGTTGGAGACGGCTTGCACGCCGTTGCGGAAGATCTCGGATTGATCACCGAGACTGGAAGCAGTGATGCAGTTTTCGGCCCTTCACCGCTCCATGCCTGAGGAGAGGTGTTCGGATATGTAACAATTCAGAGGGGTACCCCAGCAGGTATTCCCAGGGCCAGGCTGAGGACAGAGAATGAGTTCTTGCATCGTCGCCATATTTTGGCTCAAGAAATATATCCCCTCCCATCCATCACCAGAGTTTGGGGGAGGAGGATTGCTTTGCAATAACACGATTTCCGCATCAGTCGCGAGGACAAACACCGCGAGAGCGTGATTCCTGAGTATCGAGAGCGCTGCTTTTAAGTAAGTTGTAGGAAGACGCCACCCGAGAGCGCGATTCCTGCACACATTTTGAGGACGTCCCGCGCGACAGCGCGATGCTGGAAGAAGTTATGCAGAAGTATCGGGCGGGAGCCGTTCTTGTTGCAGTTTGGGGCCCAGCAACCCAGTCTGGTGACGTTTCATTTTTTTGTGTTAAAAAAAAGAAAAAATAATACAAACAAGCAAAAAAGTACGAGCCCCGCGAGAAGCATTGGAACAGCAACAGAAACTTGATACCAGCGGGGGGGATCAACAATCCTTATCTTCTAGAGACGAGAATAGTACGATCTCCTCCTGGTACTTCTTCTACTATAGCAGGGAATCACGCTCTCGTGCGGGACGTCCTCAAACTTGATGCAGGAATCGCGCTCCTGCGCGGGACGTCCTCACAATGCATGGCGGCACCGCTTCCCCAAGACTCCTGAATCGCACATTAGGTTTCATCCCGGATGGTTATTCTGACAGGGTACCGCGGAGGGCCTCGAGAGCCCGAAAACGGCAAAGAACTTCAGAACTAGTTTTCTTCAGGACCCGTTTCCAGTATGGCTATGGCGATCGATCCAGCGCGATGCCAAGGCGGCGGATGTGTGGAGCTAGCCTCGTCGGTCGTCGGTCGTCGTCGTCAGTGTTGACGGCTGCGCCATCCTCGTTCTTTTCCTGATCTTGCTTCTCCTCCCCATCGTCGTACTCCTCCTCCCCCTCCTCCTCCTTCTCCTCCTCCTCCTCCTCTTCCTTCTTTTCGTCCTCCTCCTCCTCCTCCCTCTCCACCTCCCCCTCCCGCTCCTCCTCCTCCTCCTCCTCCTCCTCCTTCTCCTCCTCTCCTCATCCTCCTCCTCCCTCTCTCCCCCTCATTCTCCTCTCCTCTCCTCCTCCTCTCCTCCTCCTCCTCCTCCTCCTCCCCTCCTTATCCTCATCCTCTTCATCTTCCTCCTCCTCCTCCTCCTCAACTTGCTTCTCCTCCCCATCGTCGTACTCCTCCTCCTCCCCCTCTTCCTCCTCCTCCTCCTCCTCCTCCCCTCCTCCTCATCTCCTCTCTCCTCCTCTTCCTTCTTTTCTCCTCCTCATCCTCCTCTCCTCCTCCCCTCCTCCTCCCTCCTCCTCTCCTCCTCCTCCTCCTCCTCCTCCTCCTCCGCCTCCTCCTCCTCCTCCCTCCTCCTCCTCCTCCCTCTCCACACCCTACTCCTCCCTCTCCTCCTCTTCCTCCTCCCCTCCTCCTCCTCCACCCCTGTACGACGTTCCTCCTCCGCCCCCCCGTTCAGGGCGACCGGCATCGCTTCCGCCAGTGACGCCCAGCAGCCCTCGCGGTCGTCGCAGGCCTCCGCAGCCCAGCGCCCGGCGCCGCCAGAGCGGCGGCCAGCCTCGCCGAGGGGCCGGGCCTCGCCCGAGAGGCCTTGGCAGGCTTGTTGCGGCTGCCGCTGTTCGTTCTTGAGAAGGAGGAGGAGGGAGGAGGAGGAGGAGGAGGAGGAGGAAGAGGAGGAGGAGGATGAGGAGGAGGAGGGGGAGGAGGAAGGGGAGGGGGAGAAGGCGGAGGAGGCCAGCTCGCGCGAGGGGTTCTGAGAAGTCCCGCCGCCTTCGAAGGCCTTCTCGTTCTCGCTTCCCCTTTCTCTCCGCCGAAATGAAAGGGGGATAGCAGCCGGCCACCAGGCCGCCCGGCGCTGGCTCGCAATGCCGAGGGGTCTTCGCGGAGCCGGCGCTCTCCTCATCCGGCGATTTTTCCTCCATCCTCCCCCTCTTGGTGTCGGGCTGTTTCTTCAACCCTTTATTTCACGGCATGCTTCTCCACATCCCGGATCAAGGCAACTCATTTGGGAATCGTTTCTGGATAGGCTGGTGGAGTTACGCGAAACGTTTCGAATCTGTTGTTCCTACACTGACGCATGATGGTGATAACTGACAGGGCGGCCATACACCGCATGAATGTTGCGGGGGAAAGTGGCTCAGGATCCCTGGTGGTCAAGTGAGCGGCAGAAGAAAACGGGGTCGTATGCGCCGACATCGGCGCGCGAGCTGGCCGCGTAAGGTCGCGCTGTCGGCCCGCGTAAGCCGCCGCGTGAGGTCGCTATGTCATCTTGCATAAGACCAGTATTTGTCGTCGCCCAAGTGACTTGGGCTCCATGGAGGTCAAGTGCGCCCTCACATATGTTTTACCAACGCCTTCCAAGGCCCAGCCCATCACGAGGCCAAGACTGAGGCCTTGCCCCCCCCTCGACGCAAGCATCGAGCTGTTTCCGAAGGTCCTTGGCATCGCTCGGACGTGTGCAGTTTTCTTGGTGAGGACCATCGATGAGCATCCTGGACCATTTAGCAACAAACACACTCACGACACCGATAATTTTACAGGGAATGAACGTCTGAGCGATGGCGAGTAAGGTCAGTCATCTTAGTTCACTGTTTTTGGTGACCTTTGTGCGTCTTTGCTGCTCCACGGTGGCAGCACGCGGCGGCAACATCCAGCACGGTACCGAAGAGCTCGTTGCGAGTTCCTTCCCGCAGGCGCAGTTAGAATTGCAGGGGCGCCCTCCTTGAACGGCGCCCCCTTAGTGTCCCCCAGCAGCAGTTGGAACCATTGCCGCAGCCACGGTTTGACGAGTTGACATAGTTGACTAGCCACGGGTTGACGAGGTTGACCTTTTGGCACACCATGCACTGCACATGACCGCGGTCGACGAGGCCGTATCTGATACAACCGATCACCACATGAGTTCGTGCGTTCCCCCAGGCAGATTTCATCTGGGGAGTTCCATATCAGCCTCCCGAATGAGACCTTGCTCGACATGTTTCGCCTAATCATTCCAACAACGATCCATGCCGGTTCGTACGGTCGCCGTGGCCAAGGCATACGACAGCAAGGCCAGACTCGAGTTCTGAGAGCAACATTAAGATCATCACAAGCGGGAAGCCCCGCCTTGGGACTAACCGTCTTGTCGACAGGGATCTCGGGCCGCTTGCGGTGGAGGAGGGCGAGGTTGACGCTTCTAGCTTTTGCTCCCGCGGCTTGCTTGAAACAGGAGGACGGGGTGGTAGCGAGGAAACGCTACTCCGAGTTCACGATACCGCGCCAGGCGACAGCATTGCAAACTGCAGCAGAGTGGTGAAGCCCCGCTTTTCCCTTGGCATCGCTCGGACGCGTGCACGTTTGGCTCGGCGAGGCGAGCGCCCGAAGCTCTGCGCCATCCTGGAGCACCTCGCAACACCCTGGGACACGAAACACGCACGATACCACGTCGTGCACGGGGAAAAGGTGGTCGGTTTCCTATTCATCGTTTTGCCGATCGGCGCGGGCCCTCGCACCCCCGCTCATCCCTGTGGAGTCGATCTCGGCTGTCATTGGCGCCTGTTTCAGGCAGGTGGGGTCTTCCCCATAGGACGCACTCCTGCGCACAGCTGCATTAAGCAGAGGTTCCCCCCCTCCGCCAGACCCTCGCCCTCCGCCCCCCCCCTTTCCGCCCAAAGTCGAAACACCGAATAAGAAAACGTTGGCATGGACTCATGGACGGCCCAGCGATGGTAAGTTCCCGAGACACGACGCTCAGCAGGAGGTGGAGGAGGAGGAGGAGGAGGAGGAGAAGGAGGAGAGGGACGAGAGGGACGAGAGAGGAGGAGGAGGAGGAGGAGGAGGAGGAGGGGGAGGAGGAGGACGCGATCGGCGAGGGGGCGCGCGCCGCCCGCCGCTGCCAGGGCAGCGGGCCTCCGCTCGTCGTGACGTCCCCCACGCTGCGCGCCGCCCCCCTGGAAGACGGCCGCCTCCAGAGGGCCAGCGCCGCCTCGGCCGAGCACCAGGCCGTGCGCCCCTCGGGGCGCCCCCGTCCTCCTCCTCCTCCTCCTCCTCCTCCCTCCTCCTCCTCCTCCTCCTCCTCCTCCCCCCCCCTGAGACGCCCCCGAGGAGGAAAGGGGGGAAAGGGTGCGTGGTCTTTTGGGCTGCGGTGCTCGGCGGCGCGCGAGGGGGGGGGGGGGAAGTGAGAAAAGAGAAGGCCTTCTCAGAGGGCGGCGGGGCTTCTCAGAAGCCCTCCGACCTGAGAAGTTTGTGCTGCCTTCGGGGATAGATCTGGAAACTTCTCAGAAGGCCGGGGGGATCACGAGCCTTCTGAGAAGACCCGCCCATTCTCTCTTCCTCCCTGGGCACGCTGCCGAGGTGCTGGACACGGTGGGCTACGGTGGCTGGTTCGGATTGGATTGCATGCGAACCGCGCCCGTGCGCCAGAGGAAAAATCAAAACGAGCGGCCCCAGACGCGCAGTCGACGACCCATGCAAACGTACGGCAGGTTCGTTCGCATCGACCGGCGGCGACACCGCCGCCGGCGTGTAATGTTGAACGCCGCCGGAGACCCAGAATCGATTGGTGTTGAACGTTCTGAAGTTTCGGAAACGGCCGATCCAGGTTGAACGATCCCTGCGGTGTCAGGAACCAGCGCAGAAGTCCGCACGACGCGAACCTGGGCAGTCCCCACAACGTCGACCCCCAGAGGTCCCGACCCCTTCCCCGGGACCGGTTTCTCATCCCGAGTCGTTTTTTTAGGGTCCCGGTGCCCGGCGAAGGCCCCCAGAGGCTGAAAATGGCTAAAAATTTCCCGTCGTGATTTCCGTTTTTCAAAGAGATTCTTAAGATTTCGGAGGCGCGCGCCAACCCCTCCGGTGCCAGCGGTGCAGAGGTTTTTTGGGCGTGTCAGGTCGGGCATGTCTTCCTACAAGCGGATTTTGGACGACAAAAAAGGCAAACGATAATCAAAACATTCAAAACATACTAAAACAATCGTCCCAATACTATCTTGATTTTTTGTGAATATTCCTCCTGTAGAGGGACACGCCCGACTTAACACCAGTGGGGGCAAGAACGAGTCGGTGCGAGGGGTGTGTATGTGTGTGAAGTCCGCTCATTTCACCATTATAATGTCAGACACCCCTAAAGTATCGGCTAAGGTGTTGGTGCACATACCGCGCTGCTCTCCGCGCAGCGCCCAGCAAAATAAGTAGCTAGCCTGTTCCCCCTGCGCCTCTACCAACGGACAACAGTATAGGATCGACTTTTCGGCTGTATCCATAAACACAGGTTATCAGCCTATGAGTTTACGCTTTTCGCCACTGCAACTCGCGTCATCGTTGACACCGCCGCATGGTTCTACACTCCTCGGGGCGCAGTGCCTCTGTGCGTCCGGCGTCCTCGACGGCGCGTGGGCGCGGCGACATCACGGAGAGGGCGAGAGAATCCGTGATACCCATTTCCCCCCTTTCAGGAGACGACAGTTCCGCGACGCTTGCGGCTGCTCTCGGCGAGTTCCTGCCCGACTCGCCGCTGCCGCCGCCCGCGCGCGCTCACGCGCCTGGGAACTCTCATAATGTTTCGGTGCCTGATACGTGCACTGGAGCGTTTCCTGGCGCCGCCTTTGATTGTTCTCGTGCGCCGGTGGGAACACCTGCAGCTGGGCCTTGGAGCCACCGCTGGATGTGCCTCGATTCCTTCTTATGCTCCAGCCTTCGCTGACAGACGATGTGCCGGTGGGAACGCCCGCAGCGGCGGCGCCAGTGAAACGTTTCCAGACAACGCTTTCGCGCGCCCCCGCCGCTGGGCTAAGGTCGCATCGCCCACTGACGTGTCTGCATCCGAGCATGCGTGTGTCATGGAGAATCGCACTGGACGGACATCTCAGCGAAGGGCCCCAGAACGGCGTCACATTTGCTCTCCCATTCGGGACAACAGCCGCAACCCTTCACAGAGGCGCTTCCGGCGCAGTTGCACACCGCGCGACATGGCGTCGCGCGCCTCTCCCCCCGCCAACGATTTGGCTGAGCTTCGAGACCAGGTTGAAATGTACATGGCCCAACAATTGTCGGGTCTGGCCGCGCAGACGGCCACCCTCAGGCAGGAGGTTCATCAAGCCCTTGCCCTGGTCGACGCTCGGATCGCAGAAGATTGATCTTCACTCGGGTCCAGTGTCGAGCTGGCCAGGTGGAGTCGCGCCGAGGTTCCGACTCCAGCACAATCCAGGCGCTCTACGACTACCTCCTTCGGCTGGAGGCCCAACTTGCGAACGTCAGGGACACAGGCGCTGCCGCCATTAGGGCGTTCCACGATGATCTCCCGGCGGCGCGGCAGATCCTGGCCACGGGGGCACCTCGCGCATCTGAGTTGCTGCGCGGCGCCGAGATGACCAGCGCTCAACGTTTTTTAGGCTTCTGAGGGGCGCGTGCCAACGCTGGAGAACCAAGTCTCCGCCGTCGAGCAGCAGTTAACTAGCGCGACGACTGCGCCGGCTGAGTTGCGTGTTGTAGGGGCCCAGACTGATCAGCTGGGGACGCCGACTTCGGCGTGCGATTTCGCCCCCCATCGAAGCCCGATTGGCCGAGGCACGGGCGGCGGCGGGCCACGCGCAGTTACAACTCGCCCAGATCTCCAGAGGAAGAGACGCCGAAAAGGCACGGGCTGAGGAAGCATTCGCCCGTTTGGAACAAGAGCGAGACGCGCGCCAACGACGAGCCCAGGGCTTGGAGCATCGGCTGGGCCGGCACTCCCAGCGAACCCACGACGCTAACGTTGAAGTGCGCGGCATGCAACAGAGCGTTCAGATGATGCAGACCGACGTCGCAATCAAAGAAGCTACACTGACGGCCCACGTGGGCAACGCTCAGATCCACCGCCCGACCCCGCCTCCTGACCATTGAACCGACAGAGTCTCAACGCGCGCCGGTGGTGACATCCGCGCTGGGCCCACTCGACGCACCTCACCAGGCGCCGCATCGGCAGCGGCCGCCACGTTTTCCCTTCGCGACCACCACCGCCATCCCAACCAGTTCCTTCACAGACGTTGTCACATTTTTCATTCAGCGGCACCGCTCCAATCAAGGAATCAGACACCGTACGCGAGCCACAACTGCCACGGCTTATTGAATTACAAGAGTGGCAGCATATGGTTCGCAACAACTTTGCCGGCGCCTCCGGGCGCCCTGCCGCGGCCTACGCATTCCCGCGCATCGCCGAACCACCGACCACGACCTTCGAGGACCTCCAGGACAGCGGCCACTTCGAAAGCATCGACTGCAAACTCTCTGCTGGACTCACGGCAGTTCTCAATGCTGAGCTCCAGTGTCGCAGCAAGAAGCTCACAGCCCAGGAACGCAACGCTGGCCGCATGCTGAAGGTAGACAGATATATTGGACGGTGCTCCAATTCTACAAAACCACTGCAGTCGATGGCACGATGCACCACTTTGAACGTCTACAACTTATGCGCATGCGGCACGACGACCTGCAACGGTTTATTGTGGGCGGGAACAACCTATTATTGGAATGCCGCGAACCACCCGGTACGATAATTCTCGAGTCGTTACTCCGAGCTCAGATGCGCCGACGCCACCCGATGAGGCAGGACATGCGCGACTACGACAAGATGGCATACGACGACCCCAATCGAACGTGCGATAGGCTTCGAAAACGTGTTCTCGCCAACCTTGAATTACGCCGACTCGAACGCAATCAGCGCAACCTCCAGAACGAATCGACACGACGTGATTCCGTCATCTGCGCAGCGTTCAAGTCTGGACGGCGCAAGAACGAAAAAAACGCGAGATGTTGCGCGCTGGATCCAGCAGCCGTTCTACAGAAAGACCCCCTTGCGACGACCTCCTTCCGCCCGCCGATCCTCCGGCCCGCCGCCGAAGGACAAGGCCAAACAGCATTGCTCCTTCGCCTTTGCGAAACGCGGCTCGCGCCCGCTACGAGATCGCCGCGAATGCCCACGCATGCCCGCGTGCATTTCCACGCGGGCCCGAAGCTAACGCGCAAGCATGGGGGGCGGCCGCCGAAACGCGCGCATCGACCCTGGCGCGAAAACTCATGAGAGGAGCCCCAGCTGGACATTCTGGAACGACAGCCACCATAGGGCCCCCTCTCCGCGACTTGTGGCGGGTCGCGAACCCTCGCCCTACAAGGGGCGGCAGAGCTCCCGCAGTCCGGGGGGCGCGCGCTGATCGCGACGAGGTTCCCCGTCTCTCGGGCGCGGGGGGCGGCCCGACTCGCGCGGCCCGGGGGGTCGCGGATGGTCGCCCCGCCCCCCGCAGCGCTCCAGATCCCCGTCGCGGCACTCCAGCCGGGGCCACCATCGCGGGCGCCCCCCCGCCAGGAGTGGCAGAAAGTGCAGCCGATCCGCATCTCGCGGCCGCAGCCGATCACCATCCACCCGCGACCGCGCGCGATCCCCCGCGCCAGCACGGCGCTACCGAAGACGTGATCGAGCATGTGAGACGCGTGAGAGGCTTCTTCTTCTAGCCGGCCCACCACTGCGGCAAGTGCGCTTTCACTTCGAGAGCGTGGATTTCACAACCTATCTCACCTATCTGGTTAACCGGAAAATGTACAAGTTGAATGAATCCTCGCGTTGCCAGGGCGAACAGGTCGACGTGCCGGAGATTATGCCAGACTGGTGTTTGGAAGAGAGCGCATGCGCGTTGCGTGACAGTCAGACTGAGGCGCGACGCTTGCGCGACGAGCTCGCGCAGGCCTCCAGTCTTACTGCGGTGCTGGACCTACCGCCGACTCACAACAATGCGTTGTTGGCGACGCCTGCGTCTGCGTCTGAGGCAACGCCACGGTCGACAGCAGCATTGTCACGAACGCGGATATAGGATAGTGGCTCCGCCCACCACATCCAAGGCAAGGCTGGCCTTCAACCGCGCGAACCCACTTTCGCGCATCAAGGACGAGAACGCATACTCGAAACTGCCAGCGGTGACCGCGTCGTCAACGAGCACATCCACATCGCATTGCCTCAGTTCGAACTATCAAGGTC